GGGTATACAAAAGAAGCGAAGATATTAAAGTTGGAAAAAAATTAAATGACTCAGTGAAAGGAAAAATTCGCAACTTTTCTCAAAGACTACAAGGCGATAAATGTGAGTTGTTAATTTGTTTTTATTTTTATAGAATCTTTTTTTTGGTTCGATTTAGGTACATGTATGTTCCAAGGCAAGGCATCCAGAGTTAATGTTAATGTTAATAGCAAGTTGATGGCTTTTTTGTAAAATGTCAGTTATCCAGAATTTCAAAATTCCTGCAGAAGCTAGTGTGGAAGCCAGTAAATTCTATCAAATAAATGACAAAGGAATAAAACTATGGGATATGCCAAACTTGTTTCCATGGAAAATGGGTGTAATTCATTTATTTGAGGTTGAAATACTATTTTCTTGGAATTTACAACATCCAGTTATAAAGAATGATAAATGTGTTAGCCATGATCATATTTTTGCAACTAGGGACTGTACTTTATCAATGTGAGTAAGAGCAGTTGCCAATCAATCCCAGGGGCAGGGTCTGTGGTGCTGCATAGACAGTTACTGTGATGAACAGTGATATAATAGGGGTGAAAATAAATCCAGAGTGACCAGTTTGTATGGTACATGTGGTTAAAAGATGTAATAATTTTATTACAAATTCTCCAACACTATCTTTTATGGGTCAGGAACACTTCTTGCTTTGTTTGGGGTCCGGTCAAACTCTGGGGGCTGCCATGTTTGTTTCTATTATTATGTTTAATTGTTCCATATTTGGAATTCCCATTTCCTAATATAGTACGTAGAATGAAAATACCCAGTACAATACTGCAAAATTATGGCACGCTGTAACTTATATCGTTACGGTGACAGATGTATAATAATAACTGTTCAATGAAAACAGAGCAACTCGGACAAAAAAATATACAGTTTGAACTACAATTCTATTCGCACACAACTCACATTCACCATAGAGGTCGCAATTCAGTGAAACACTTCACGGAACAAATTAATCATGTTACAAATAGTTAATATATTGTTTTTTTTTATCTTTTTCTTTTTTTCATTTACAGGGAAAAATTTTTACGTTATTATTCATAAAGCATGTATATATATTTACTTCAGTGAAAAAAGCAAAAAACCTAAACACACATTCAGTTTGAACGGCTATAAAAGGTACGTCAAGGTTCAAGATAATGTTTGTGTTTTTCTCTTCATGCATAATATATCACATTTGCATTGGGACTAACATTTGCATACTAATTAGCTAATTTGCATATTTTCATTACATTACTGTAAAATACTTTATTTTAGCTGCAATTAATTCTCACTGAAAAAACTTTTTGGGTGCCTTGTATGTAATATATTTTCACTGATTTTTGACGAGTTTAATGTAAATTATAGGAAAAAATGGTATATTCACTGGATTTTAGTTTCACTGAATCATCTCTTCAGTGAAAATAAATTCCAGGCGAAATTTACTTTACAGCATGATAACAGTTGCATGACTGTGAGTTCTTGGAGTAACAACTAATACCGCAATGACTATAGTGTACAAACAAATTTCATTTATTTCATACTTAACTAGACAACTGGTTTTTTCTATGCTTCATTGCTATTGAGTACTAAGAAGTTTTTTGTGTAAGTCAAAATTTGTTTTATGTCACAATTTGTTTTATGTCACAATTTGTTTTCGTTTTACGACATCTGTGATAAACAATTTGTTTATTTATGATAGTAATATAAATAGCATGGTAAAAAACAAAAAAAATAACATATTCTGAAAAAGCAACTTTTTTTCTCCCTTTTTCCGTAATTCCAGTTACCGTTCAGTGGTTTGTGCCTTGAATTTCAAATGCTTTGCTACTTGCATGCTACAATACATAATGATTTTACTCAGTTATATAACGTAGCAGTTTGTTTGGATTGTTGAAAATGTCTATTTGACAAATTCCAATAGTCACTCGCTTTACTTATAAAATGCTCCTTGTCTTCAGGGGGGGAGTTGCATGACACGATTGGTTGAAATAATCGTCTCATTTGCATAAATTAATATTCATGAGCAATGAAAAACTCGTCTTTTCAGTAAAATTGTGCCAAAATGCTTTCCGATAGTATACATGTTAGTTCTAAATTGACTGATTCTATCGTTACGAGCTAAAAAAATAATCAGAAAAATGATGTAAAAGTATTTTTTGAGACGCGTTTTCGATCGGACTCCATCTAACTGTTGAAAGTAAGCACAGGTTTTCTCTTTACCATGATCATAGCAAGTTGCGATATTCATGGAGAATGCAGAGGCACGTTTAAATTTCACTCTAGTTCTATTGCTCAGAATTGCTCAAAATGTTTTTGGTGACTTTTATCAGTGACAAGTTACCTAATTAGTATTCATTTCGAGAAACCACAGTGTGTGTGTGCATGCGCAGTTTGAAATGGAACAGTTTTGAACGCAATAAAATCACGCGTAGAACTCGGGCTCCAGCAAGAAATTGTGACGTCAAACTGGTTGTCGGTTGAATTGTTTTGCAATAGACATAATTTTGGAGCCTGTATTTGTCTATGAAATGTTTCTAAGTTTTGTTGCTGAAATTATTTCATCTGTTTGTAAACAGGACGTTGTTGCTTTGACGATGGGCTAGGGACGACTGACGTCGAAACGTTCCATTCAGATCGGATGGCGCCCTCTCGTGCCAATTCCCCCTGCTTGTCTTCAAATTATTAGTTTTTGGCGAAATCTGTATTTAGTCCGTATTTTAGGGGATCTTCTTACTAATTCAATTTTCAGATTCTGATCGCTGAGATGAATTGTTTATATTTATGACTTGTTCATGGATGTTACAAAATTAAAAAAAGACACAGTATTTAGTCATTTTTGCTCGTAATGTTTTTATAGTAGACTTTTGGTTTCTTTATTCCAGAGTGATGCGAGCTGAGGATGTCTCATCGCCGTATGCTAAATCTTATGTCTTTAAACTTATTCACTTCAGTCCAGACAAAAGGACTTGGTATTTTGCTACAGCGTCAGAAAGGGAGATGCAGGTATGAAAGCTGTGACTGCAA